GCCCGCAAATGGTCCAGCAAAGTAGGTCAACACTATAAACCCAGCAGATGTGACGATACCAGAGGTTTGCTGATTCCTTTTACATTTAGGTCAATAAGAGCCTAACCTGAGCCCAAGCACATTCTGGTGTTGTGAAAATAATTTCTAAGGAGTTCTAATGACTCTAATTTCATTCGTTTGTTATGAGCGTTCTAAAGATCTTTCTTTGAAACACTAAAAGCAGGTTTCCCTGCCAGTTCGACATACCAGCTTATCAACAATTTACCACAAGAGGAAGTGATAAGATGCATTGCAGAGATGTTTGTTTTTTTTTAAACTTTATGTTCTTTCTGTGCCTTGTAGGGAAATGATATCATTGGCGCTGCCAAACGAATGGCCCTTCTCATGGCGGAGATGTCACGTCTGGTGCGTGGAGGCAGCGGAAACAAGCGTGCACTCATCCAGTGCGCCAAAGACATCGCTAAGGCTTCTGATGAGGTCACACGGCTGGCTAAGGAGGTGGCCAAGCAGTGCACTGACAAACGTATCCGGACCAACCTGCTGCAGGTCAGTTTAAGTTGTCTTCATCATGTGGTTCAACCATTACCTCTTTTTCCCAGTTTGCACAGACAGTTTGACGTATTTTTATAAGTAATGTTTCTAATCTCCTTTAAGGTGTGCGAGCGCATTCCCACTATCAGCACTCAGCTCAAAATCCTGTCGACAGTCAAGGCCACCATGTTGGGTCGTACCAACATCAGCGAAGAGGAGTCAGAGCAGGTGAGCAGAGTTTGACATCAGGGTGCCATTTCACTGAATTAACCTCTGAGAAAAGTATCATTCGAATCTCCATTTGTGTCCATTTTCATTTCTCCTTTCAGGCTACTGAGATGTTGGTCCACAATGCTCAGAACCTGATGCAGTCTGTGAAGGAGACTGTCAGAGAGGCTGAGGCAGCTTCCATCAAGATCCGGACAGATGCAGGTTTCACCCTCCACTGGGTCAGAAAGACCCCCTGGTACCAGTAAGAGAAGAGAAGGGCCATTGTTCATGCCGGTCCAGGAGGACTTTGAATGGACAGATACATACTTTACCAGAGTTATGATATCAGTGCCCCACATCCTAATATTGGAAGAGTTTCTCTTGGTCCCACGTCCTGTCTGTAACAGTTGCTGTTCTGATATAATGTAAACGGTGGGACTTTTCAATGTGAGTTATGGCTTATAATCTTACTGGGAACAGCTTTTTTTTTTCTAAAGTGTGTAAAAATGTGTTTTTATTTTGAGAAATCCCAGGAATATATATATTTTGATCAGAGGTTAATTTCCTATAATGTGAGGTTAATTGTTTCTGGCCTCTTCTAGCAAACCACAGTAAATTAAATTGAAATCTAACATTATCTCTAGACATTTTTCTATCTTTGTACTGATAATTTTATTGTCGTTATCATCCATTCGTTCTTTCTAGAATAAGCACATGAACCTGGGGAGTTGTTACAAGTACATTATACACATTATACACCTGCGCTGAGTGCATGCATCTATTCAGCAGTATTTTGTCTGTTTACACTATTCTGTATTATGACAACTGAAAGAGAAACACTGTTTTGCTTATGCCGTTGTAGCAGTCTGTATTTGCTTTTGCCAAAGACATCCTGCAACGATTTCAAGTCTTTCTTTGGTCAGCAATACTTATTTGACTTTAAGGGATAGTTTTAAGATGTACCTGACTGAAAGGAAAAAAACTAATTTTAAGAGCCGGCAGAGCTTTTAGGCCTGCATTGACTCATTAAACTCTTTTTGTTTAACACGGTGCGTTGAGATTACATGCAATAAACAGGCTTATGCTACACTATGCGGCTTAATAGCCAAAAAGTTATTACTCTAATCCTCCCAGCAAAGCTTTGCCTTCTTTAGAGAAAGTCATCCAGCCTGTTGTTTTCTTTGTTGTTTTTCACTCAACATTATTGTACGTCTCATATCTTTGTTGTGCACAATCATTTTTGTAATATATGAATAGTACACTTCTTAGGTAGCCAAGGGAAAGTCATACAAGCACAGTGTCTGCAGCTGGTGAAATCTTCTTTTTATATTCTCACGTCTGTCTAAAGATGTCCTGATACACTAAAATTAAATGGCCACTTCTTGGGGCTACAGTAGTTGAAACTTTAAAATATTTGAAGACTATTGGTGTGAATGTCTCATTTTAAGTACCTAATGCCAACTGATGTGCCTTGGGAAATAAACTTTATTTGCAATTGATACAATTTTCATTTTAAGATGTTTTGTATCATTTTGTACCAGGTGTCATTGTGTTGATTTCCTTGAAACACTTGCTGTACATGATTCTTCTTTAAAATGTTCCCGGTTTATGACTTACTTTTAGTCACGTTATGCTCTATGCAAAACTTAGCAGATCTTCAAATTATGCAATGTAGCTGGGGTTAAATGGGCCTGAATGTGGATTTGCTTAGGCATCGTTCACAATTTTGTAATAAAGCATTTTATAGCACTTGGAGGTGTTTTGATCTGTATTTTCTGTTGTTCTGACACACACACACAAGTACTGTACAATAGTTAGATTTATTTTCTGAATTTCATTCATTCTTCTAGAATTATTTATCTTTCCTTTATTAGGAATGTGTTACCAACCAAAGTATTTTATATCAATCATTTTGTATTTTATTAACTCACAAAGGCATTTTTGAATCTCCACAACACAAAATGACCATAATCTAAACACTAAAAAACTTATCAATGTTCAGACAATGCTGGATACTTTGAGGTGTTGTGCTTTAGGGTGACATAACAGCCAACATGTACCCAGTTAACACAATAACATAGGCTGGAACCTATCCCAGCTTTGATGGAGTGAGAGGCAGGCTGCGAGTCCAGTGCAGAGCTAATACAAACAGACGATTATTCACACTCATGCATTTGACCAATTTAGAATCCACAATTAACGCCAGTAAAACCAAGGAGCTGGTGGTAGACTTCCGCAGGCACAAGCATTCTCCACTGCAACCACTGAACATCCAGGGTATGGACATTGAGGCTGTGGACAGCTACAGGTGCCTTGGTGTTCATCTGAACAATAGACTGGACTGGACTCATAACTCAGACGCCCTCTACAGAAAAGGGCAGAGCAGGTTGTACCTGCTGCGGAGACTCAGGTCGTTTGGGGTGGAGGGCCCACTCCTGAAGACCTTCCATGACTCTGTGGTGGCTTCTGCTATCTTTTATGGTGTGGTCTGCTGGGGCGGCAGCATCTCTGCTGGGGACAGGAAGAGACTGAACAGGGTGATCCGAAGGGCCAGCTCTGTTCTAGGATGCCCTCTGGACCCAGTGGAGGTGGTGAGTGACAGGAGAATGGCGGCTAAGCTGTCATCCCTGTTGGACAACGTCTCCCACCCCATGCAGCAGACTGTGACAGCACTGAGCAGCTCCTTCAGTGGGAGACTGCGGCACCCACGGTGTGGGACGGAGAGATTTCGCAGGTCTTTCCTCCCCACTGCTGTCAGACTCCACAACAAAGACTTTAACTGAACAAACACACACATCCACACATGTGCAATAACACTAAGTGCAATAATCTTTTCTGGCATCGTTGTATTTTTACTCAGTTGTATATAGCATTCGTATTCTATTTTTATCTTATTGTATATTTTTATTCTATTTTATTCTACTGTATGTAGTATTTTATTTTATTTTATTCTATTCTGTACAGCTGTGTACTGTATTTATTCTTATTGTATTCTAATTTTTGCGTCATAACTTTTGCACTGTCCACTTCCTGCTGTGACAAAACAAATTTCCCACGTGTGGGACTAATAAAGGTTATCTTATCTTATCTTATCTTAACCCAACATCTATGTCTTTGGACTGTGCGATTAAAGCCAGAAAGACCCTACACAGGCACAGGGACAACATGCAAAACCCACAAAGGACTGACTGGCAGATAATTTCATTTTACGTGTAACTTAACCATTTCAGGGCCTGAAGTCTATCCCGGTTGTTAGTAGTACTTATCTTTCCGGTTGTCAGCAGTTTACAAAGGCTTCATTGAATTTTTTTTATTTAACAAATACACAAAAAACACTATTTCTGCCAACCATATCTTTGATGTGCATTTTTACACAGATGACACAACTTCATATACAGCTAGCTTGTTCTGTAAATGGCTTATATTTTCTTTTGGAAACTATATCCGTTTTCTACTAAACTACTATCTATTGAACTGAATGGAACTCTATTGAATTAAACAAACATAGAGGTCATGTGTGGCAATCCAGAATCTTTTTGGTGTGTGATTGAGCTGTGTTTTCACTCCACAATAATTCCTTTATAGCACAGGCATTTGTTATGCCCTGTCTAAGGGGGACAAAACAAAACACCAAAGCCATCCATCTTCCCCAAGTCACACAAAAACCTAAGAACAACTTGATGTAAGGCCACACCAACAAATAAACAAATCTATCTGCAAATCCAAGCCGAGCTAACGAAACCAAACCAACATACCCTGTTTGTTTTCTATGTGTGAGCACTTTTAACATAGCATTCACACTTAGGCGCAAACTCAGGAACCTTGTGGTTTAAGATGACCTGCTCTACTCCCTTAACCACAGCCACCTCTTTAAAAAAAAAAAAAACCCACCAGCAACGTTCTCACACTTTGACATTTGCAAAAAGATCTGAGCCTGAGATAAGTTATGGATAGACCTTTTAGGTCAAAGCTTGCCCAGTAAAGTGGCAAGCTTTGAATTCTATACACCTCAACTAAGTTACACTGATTCACACAATTTGTTAAAAAAAATAAAATAAAAATAAAATCACATTCATACTTTGTAACAGAGAAACACATTCAGATGTATGTTTTGTAAGTAAGTAAACAATATTCTTGTTCTTGTGACTCGATTTGTCTACCTCAAAAAGAAATTTTACATTTACATACATAACTGTCAATTGTGTTTTAATTTGAAACCACTGAGGATTTTATGACTTCACTACTACCCCACATTTTGCAAAGCAACCCTGTGTGGGATGGGATCCTCTGGTGGCCAGCTTGTGGCCCGAGGGCCCCATGTTGGACACTTTTGATTTCCAATACAAAGCTAGTATACTACTGTGGCTGTCTGCATGTTAACTTTGATCCATGCTATGTCTCCTATCCAAAAATGACGGTGACGCTGAAGTTAAGTAGTTGGAGCAGAGGAAGGGGGGAAAGCGATAACGAGAGGTAGCAATTTTTTTTCCACATGTCTGTCCAAATGCACAGTGGCTGCTCGATCGGGCCGTAACTAGCTCCCCTCATTTTTATGTTTATTTTTGCTACTTTTCTTTCTCTGTCGTTGCATGCTGTCGACTAATTTCTTCATCATCACCATCATCTGAAGGGGCAGGAAGCTGAATCCCGTCTCCAGCAGTTAGCAGCAGCTTCCCTGGCTCCACGGCGACGGCACAACCGGCAGCAGATTTAAAAAATGTCCGAGGAAGGACCGAACATGTTGACAGGGAGGAAGACGGCGTTAAGGTAACAACCCGAAAGTATTTGTGTTAACATATGCGACGTACGGTGTAGCTAGCAGCTAGCTGTTAATCGATGCTAATGTCTCTGTTGCCGTGGTGAACTGAGAGCGGGAGGTGCACAGTGATGGCACTGGGGCGGCTTAACCTTTGAACGTTACATCAGCTGGATGTGTACGCTGTAGTTAGCGTTTATGCTCGGTTAAAACAGCACGGAGCACAGCTAACGGGAAAAGGCTGGGTTCGTCATCACATGACTGGAAAACAAGAATTTCCGCTACATTTACCCAGCTTGGAAGTGCCCCTTTAAAAAATAAAGCACACACATGCATAAAAAATGTCGTGTGTGGGCAATCTGCAGAGTATCGTGTTTTTAAATGAAAGGTACTGGGGACAAACTTTAACGTTAGCCAAGAAGTTGAGAGGACGCTATTTAATGCTGTATTTTCACACAAAAAAAATGGCAGGAGCTACAAATGCAAAAGCTTTTTAAATGCAACTTTCATTGAGTAATATGAAACATGTAAAGGGAACGGATACGTTTGTATGTTTTTTTTATCATTTTCTTGTTTATATTTTTTATATCAGTATAGGCTCAACATATTGCAGCGCACACAGCTGATCTGTTTTGTTGACATTAAAAGAACACGGTGTGAAGTGAAGCGTGCTACGTTCATGGAAACTTAGGAAAACTTAAATGTCAGCATAAATATCTGAGGCACGTGGGCCGAGCCAGTGCTTTTACACCCATTTAAACACACAGGCATGCAGAGGTTGTTACATGCCTTTAAATGGTCACACTGAAGGATGCATCATCTCTATGATTGACCCAGGGGCAAATATCTTTTTCTCGGCCCATATTTTCTCACATATTATCTCTGTCATTCACGCACAGAGCAATAATCAATATTAACAATAACATCATTCTAGCGGTTGTGTCAGAGGTTGTGTTTGTGCTGTGAACTCACACCATCTTTTTTAAGCGGGACTACCGGATGTGGTAGACCCGAGGGCTCAAAAGCACTGCAAACAAAGAAAATACGAGCAAACAGAAGAATGCAGCAAAAACACAGCAAAAGTAGAATTAAAAAAACAATACAAGAGGAATAAAATACAAGGAAAGTAAGGTAAAACACAATGAAAGTAGATTGAAACACAACGGAAGTAGAATAAACCATCACGGACGTAAAATAAAACACCACAGAAATAGAATAAAATACAACCAAAGTAGAATAAAACAGAATAGGTGCAGAAAAAAACAAAACAAAGTACACAAAGCACAATAAATTGGGAAAAACAGCACAGAGGAAAAAGAATAATGTGTGTTCTAATCACACGATTCATAAAGTGCTGAAGATGCATGTTTCCTTCAAGTTATCGTCTCCCCTAAATTACATGCATTGTGTTTTGTGAGCCTTTTTTAATTTGCTGATGTTTTCTTAGTTTGCAGTGCATTTGACCTCTCAGTGCAACCATAACCACAAGCCCAAACATATTTAACTTTGATTAACTTGGAACAAGAAGAGAGAAGCCCATTAACCACAAGTCCTCACAGACTCACTGGATGGGTCATTTATAGAATTCCTCATTCAACAGTTATTTCACTGCTTCTACATACATCTCACACATGAGTCATATTTTTAACATAGAAATGGTAACAAGGATTCAGTTGTTTACAAAACCACAAACTACTCATCCATCAGAACTTCATCTTTCAGGCCGTGCGCTCAGCAAATCCATAGATAACACTGCTCAGACCCTGAATCTTAGCAGTTAACGCTGTCTGACTACTCTATAAGACACTCATGTTGCATAGTTGATGCCAAAAAGTTTGCAGGTATTTGGCAAATGACAGAAAAAAAAGTCATCATTCAGCTCTTTGGAAGGAAACTGGAATGTGAATGAAATGGTGCAACGGTTTAGGACCTAACCACAGTAATATTAATCGGGGACAACATCCTCATTTCGATTTTTTTTGTTTTTTCTTTAAATATTCAACACTGAAAAAATTAGAACAAATTAGAAAAAATGAGAACAAACAGCTTATAGTGCAGGAAGTACAGTCATACAACCAGAAGGGAAGTGTATGAGGTGTGTTCCTACACAAATTATCTTCAGTAAGGTGCCTATTTTCATCCTGTGCTTAAAAACAGGCAGTATGCAAGACATACACAGGCTATTTTATTATTTTAATTATTTTATTTTATTTATTTTTCTATACCTATTAATAGCTTATCTAACAGTTGTGGACACACTCACAGAGATATATCAGGAGCAACCCGGGGTCTTAATATATACATTTATGGTGTAGCTGTAGAATTGATCCACAAACCTTCTGATAGTTAGACAACCTACTCGACTTCCTGAGACAAAGGCTTAAGTAGAATTCTGCACAAGAATAGACTATTTGGAACTAAAATTATAAGCATTGTTGAATCTAAAGGATCAATATACCTGTGATATATGTGTGATGGAAAATAATTAATTTATTCTTATTTTATTCCATTTGTGGACAGGTTACAAGTGAAAAAGTAAAGAGTTTCCTTCGCTAACTATTCTTTAATATTTCAGATTTTTAGAAAAACGAGTGTTCATTTAAAAAAAATTATAATCATTAAAACATAACTGAAATTTATACATATTTATATACAATGCATGTGGCCGTGCTCTGTTTGTAATAGAGGTCCACCGTTTTTGCTGAGTTCCCATTGCCTGTGAATGCATCATCCAAGGCCTTTCAACATTGGAGAGTCAGCAGCCAATCATATGGCTAAAAGACGCTAAGGCCCGCCTATTTCTTTCACCAACAGTCAGGGTTGGCCAAAGTGCAGCTCCAGTTCCTGTAGTCAAAGAACACGCTGCTTTGAACCAAAGAAGGAAGCTGTTGACCTTTCAGTAATAATCAGTTTAGGCTGCAGGGGTTTCTGACATGCCAACTCCAAGGTGAGAGCCACATGATTATTATCCTCCTCTGTTTACACCGTAAGCATTTCTGCTCTTATGACTTTATTGTTTAAAGCATGAGCTAACATCACTGCCAGACTTTCAGTGGGTTGATTGAAAGCATTGAGCTCACCTATTGTTGAGATGGATAAAGGCATGTTGAGCTTGAAAGGCCAAGTATTTCTCCCTGTGCTCTGAGCTGTTACCTAACTTTCAGAAAGCATACTCTGTCCTCGGGAGTATACTTTGACCGCTATGATATCTTATTACCTCATACTTTTAGGTAAATGGGTAATCTGTAGCTGTAGTCTAAGAAAACCTTATTTTAAAGCGTTTGCATGACACATAGGTATCAAAGGCATAATAATCATCTGCAGGAGTCATAAACAGTTCATTCATTAATTACTCTGCTATAAGCTTAAAAGTTTTCAGTCGCTTATGTTTCTGTAGCTTGAATTTTCCCATAAAGAGATGCTCTTTATGGGTCCTTCCAGTGTAATTGACCAAATCACAAACAGATGATTTTCTGTATCACAACAGACTGTTTGTTCCCCCTGTTCATGCAGAGCCTGTTAGTGGGAGTCTCCATAACACAATATGCTTTTGTCTCCCCCACAGTGAAAACATGCTCTTTGGGATGGGAAATCCCTTGCTCGACATTTCAGCTGTTGTGGACAAAGATTTCCTTGACAAGTAAGTCTAAATGCTTCATCTGTTTCCCCTTAAATCATCCTGCATGCTCAGAACACACTTAATGTTTGTTTGCTTGCCCTTTCCTGAAAGGTTTGGACTGAAGCCGAATGACCAGATCCTCGCAGAAGACAGACACAAAGCCTTGTGAGTTAAAACTTCGCTCGTAACCCACGCTACAGTCGCTTGTGTAATGCAAACAGTTAAAAACATGTGAAACCAAATAAGGGATACACTAGCCATTCATACACACTACTACCATCTTGACACTGTAAGCTGTGCTCAAAATAGCTAACTCATACATTGGCCCCGGGTAGCTGGCAGCCTCAGAACTTTACACGCCCACATTTTTCCAGCTCTGAACCCATGCCAGGCTATAAATAACCTCTAAATTTACAATTGCCTTGTGGCAAATGTAAGTTAGTAAGGGTTTTTCTGAGTTGTGAGTTTCTTGTAAACACGCCTCCGTCACATTGCAAGCAGTAACACTATATCCTTCCTCAAAGACACTGTGGCATGCCCCCGCTTGCAGCCCGTCACTCTGTAGAAACAAAGAACTAGGCTTTAATCACTGACTGACCTTACACCACCCTTTTCCTTCTGTTTGATAAGGTACAGATGGTTCCTTTGCAGGGAATTTGTTGTGTGAATTTTTTTTTGAAGATGTTAAATATGTGCACCATCTGTAAATAAGAACATGGTGTGAGAGAGGGAGGTGTTGGGGTTCCCTTTGAAGTTTGAAGGATTAAACAGTTTTCACACTGAGAGGTAAATCACATGTTCCACATTTAGCATATGTAAACATTTGTTATGGGTTTGCCTATTAGTGTGTGAGTGAACTGAGATGTTTAATAATTACCCAAGCAGCAATAGAAAAAAATCACAGGTTTTCTGAGTTTTTATGACTTTACTTTGCCTGCCAAGTCTGAAATGTAATCAAAAAAGCCATTCACTGGGACAGAATAACCTCTTCTGTGAATCCAGCTCTCTTTTATTTTTAAAGCATGATGGATATTTTCTGACGGCAACATTTCATTTTGTCCTAAATTGGCAATTTGTGTCTCTGCAACCAAATGTAACCCAATGCCTGCTGCCTTTCAGTTCGCTCTAGCAATAAAAGTGCAACAGATGACTTTTTAAGGCCTTTCGTTTAACCAGTAGCAGGTCACCTGCGCTGAAGTGCTCCTTTAGACAATTTTATTACATCACACTGGTCAACGTTCACACCTTAAACCTGCTCAGTCAACAGTTATCTGCTGGCCATTACTACTGGAGCACTTCAGTGTTTAAGGTGCCCTGTTGAGTTTTTAAAAAAAGTCTTTATGAAAACAGAATCGGCATTTTCATTGTGTAAAACGGTCTGTTTTAAGTACGATAAGCCAGATAGTGGCACTAACAAATGAGGAGAGGCCAGTGGGAATCCTTGGACATGTACAGTTAATTGTTACTAGCATTACTTTAACAATTTGACAATAAAATGGCTTAAAGATGTCAAATTCTGAACAGTTGGCACTTTTGCAAAGACAAAGAAAAATGATTTTGTTGTCCATTAAGACGTTTTAATGTCTTGAGTAAACTTTGTATTGGATTCAGTGTGACGGAGCAGTGGAAAATTTGACTCATGTCAAAATAACCCCCATATTTATTTGTATTGGGAGCTCCAGTGGAGCAGTGGTCCTGGCTTTGGGGTTTCTGCACTGCAGATGTTACATCGGCTAACATACTGTGATGCTGTGATTGTGCTTCCCAAACCCTATCCATAGACATTTAGCCAGTTTAAAACCATAATGTTTAAATTTTCAAAAGACCAGCTTAAACCAAAAATTGGTGACTGCTACCGTTGACTGTGCAGAACTACTGAGCCACCCCTCATTTCTTTATATTTTGCTTCCAAGGAGCCAGACTTTCTTGTAATGTTTCTAGGATAAGTGACTATAAGCTGCTGTTTCCAATGAGTCCAATTCAGTTCAGTTTTTGTACCCTTTCTTGTTGTTTGTTCAGCCATTTAACACTGACATACAACTCAATCAAGTATATATATAAAAGGCATCTAACTCAAGGGCTGAACCACTGTAGAGTCTGCACATAACAGACAACTTGGCAACGAACCAATTTTAAATTTAGTATCTTTAGCCACTTTGTTACTGCAACCAGTCACAAAAAAAAACATAATTTGTTCCCATTTTTTTTAGTTGAATAACACACATTCACAGGCATAAAATTTTATTTTTGGAACAGCAAGTTGATTCCCAAAGAAAATTTTGCATATGGTGAGGAAACTGGACAAGTGGAGGACAAAAGAAGTTGCAGACCTACAAAACTTTCCACAACAGGTGATCAGTATCTGAAAGTCCTTAGAAAATAGGAAACATCCAGGAAAGAGCTGACACAGAACTTGAGAGTTGCATTTGGCTCTTCAGTTGATCCATCAACTGGTAGCTGAAGAACAGCGATGGTCTTGAAGGTTAAATGACTGATGAACTGGACTGAAAATCTTTCCAACCACACTGCAAGTGTAGTAAAAGCATATGTGGATAGAAAAACATAAAGTGGAACACTATCAGTCGTGGATTGGCCTCCCCAGACCTGGACCTCAACATTAATGAAGCAGCGTGGGATCATCTTGACAGAGAAAAACAGCAAGTATCCAATGAAATGTCTGGAGAAATATTCCTGAAGATTACTTAAAGAAATGACAGTAAAGCCTTAAATATCAAGTTTGAAGCACGTTTGAATTGTAGGGTGGCCCGAGACTTTTTGTACAGTACTGTAGAATAATAATGCAAATGGATACATAGCCTATCCGTACCAGGCTGCATTAGTCCATAAACTTTACTACACTACTGCAAACCACCTACTGTGTAGCTGTTACATGCTGTAGTAAATCTGTGAAGGCATTATAAAACTATGAAGCACCATAACGATGCAGTTAGAGTTTAAAGACAGATCAGTACATCTGATCATCTGTACTTTACAATGGGCTACCTTGTCGGGTCTTGTTACTTGACAAAAGGACACATGTGACCTTGGGCAGGAGCAGCGGCACAAAGCAGCATCATCAGCAGTGTTGTTCTCCTTCAGCACAAAGGCAGCGGTGTTATCTTTAGCCCCACAGACACTGTTCTCTACACATTCTGCACAAGGTCAGGGCAGGATTAACATGCAGCTTTGCTGGTTAATTCCCAGCACAATGCATTTCAATGCACGTCCCCTCAATGCTATAGACACCAGCGTGCCTGTCATCATGTCAGTCAATGCATATCTGAGTAAGCATGCAGTATTTTTATCATTCTGAACGTTAACTTTCGACGCTGCAGCATGTGCCACAGTGTACCTATTAATGCTGCTTTGCTTGAGGTTTGGTTTGGTTGCTAAGAAGTCACGTGCAAAGTCATTGGCTTACGGAAGAAGAAGAAGAAGAAGTCCGCTGAAGTGTTGTGACAAATAACTTCATTACTAAAAAGGACTTACAAGTCCAGTCAACTAACACCATTGTTGCACTACCAAATCTACAGAGTGTAACACGATTCATTTTTTCCTCCCATCACCCTGGTGGGAGAGAGATCATTGGATGCAGTGCGCTGTGGCCATGCCTGAATTCAATTATCTAGTCACAGCAGAGCCCATATAATCCTGTTGTTGCTGAGAAATTGCCTGCTGGACAGTAGAAACTATCTACATCCATGTTAGTACTGGCTGGGGACTTATTTTTGGTGTAACAAGATTCAGCCGCGTATTCTTAGTGATTCAGTAATGGATTAGGCACCAAAATTCACTGACTTTTGCTGTTTTCTTTTGTTTTCTGTCGCAGTAAATTAAACACGTTTTTGTTCTTAGACTGTTATTTTGAAAATTGCAAGACCTCAACTCCATCTAGCACTTAACCTTCTGACATTTTAAGATATTTAATGTTTTTTGCAACAAAATTTTGATCAACTTAACTGAAAAAATAATCGAGAGATGCAGGAATTTGAATGAAAACAATCATTATTTGCTGCTCTGATTTGGGTGGGGGGTGGCGGGGAAATCTGCCATACTGAAAAACAACCCAAACTTCCTGCTACATTCCATTTAACCACAAGCCCCGGTTCACTGCTGGGCGTGACCTTTCTGTTGTTTCATAATGCTTCTTTTCTTTTCACCTTTGCCAACTGCTGCATCCTTTCTTTCTCCTTTGTAATGCATCAAAGCCCTCAAACTATAATATACCTGTAGTTAATTTTTACATGATGCAATCTTAAGCAGTGCTATTATCTTGTATGAGTGACAGCATCAGTCTCTCCTCCTCAAAAAGCAGCTGCGAGTTCTGCCGGTACCTGTATATTATTCCTGGTTTCACAGTGTGGTGGTTAGTCTGTCAGGCTGGAGTAAATGCAAAATACTGTACTGTTTGTTCACATTATATTTTCTTATATATTATAAATATAAAATATATATTTTTATATTTTTTTGTGGTTAGTGAGCTGCAGTTGAGAGGGTCTGCTTTCAGCAGATGCTGGTTTTTCAGGCGAAGCCTCTGGTTGTTTTGAAATCGAGGTATGAGAGGAAACCAACTAACCAAAGAGCTGCGTGAGACTTCCTCTCTGCCTGCTTAGACATGTTAAATTCAGAGTTTCAGTGGGTAACTGTCGTAACTGTAGTTCCCTCTGACTTTTTGCAGCTGTTGCTGCCATCGTGTGGATTCAAATATGAGTTTGATTCCTGCAGGATTTTTAAAGGCTCTTTGTCATGTGCCAAGATTTGGGGTACGTTTGACTTTGTGTTGTGACCAGATGAACCCAAAGATTACTAAATTCAAAATAAAGTTGTGTTCTTTACTTAGGTCATGTCTAATTTTTCTTTGTAGTGTTTGCTTTTTTAAAATATTTGATTCTGATCATTTGCAGTATTCGTCTCATTAGCACGTGGCGAATATTTATATTTTAACCTTGTCACTTATTTCTTGGCAGCAAAATTCTTTTTAATATGTTATTACTTTGCAGAATATGGGGCATGCACCCTATATGACCAGCAGGGGGCAACAGTAACCTGCTGTTTCTACCCCCCTAAAAAAGAAGTCTCCATAGGAAACAACATGTCAACATAATGAAAACACGCCTCTTTCTGCAGGAGATTATAATGTGGGACATGCAGCATTTCATAATATA